ACATGGAGTGTGGATAAGGGATCCCCTATTCAATTGTGTTGTCACATGATAGGGCAACGAGACAAGTGAAGACCAATGCCTCATTGATGACCCGCATAGGGAGATGATTAACAGCAATCCGGCAAGACAAGACATATATTTATATAGGAACAAGGTTGTCCTATCAGACCTCGTTAAGTATCGAAAATATCAAGTCTTACACTACTAGAAAATATCAAGACATATTTATATAGTTATCAAAAATATCAAGTCTTACGCTACTAGAAAATATCAAGACATATATTTATATGCTACTAGAAAATATCAAGACATTAACAGTAATCTGGCAAGACAAGACATATATTTATATAGGAGCAAGTTTGTCCCGTTAGACCTTATTAATTATCGAAAATATCAAGACATATATTTATATAATGAGAAACCTCAAGCACTAAAAAAAAAAGACGGCCATTTTTGTCGGTGATCCGAGTCGTTACTAAAGGATTTCCGACAAAATTACTTCCATAAGAAAAAGGGTTGTGGGAAATCATTTACAACAGATTTCCGATGGAATATTTTGTTTTTTAGAAAATGGGGTTTGGCTAACTTTTACCATTTTTGACGGATTACCAATACATTGGGGTTTGTCCAACTTTGAGCATCATTGACCAGCTTTCACCATTTCTGATGGATTTACGACAGAATGGGGTTTGATCAGCTATGACCTGGTTTGACCATTTTGATGGATCACCGACGGAATGTTATGGTCACCACGTATTATGGTGTTTCTAGACGTTATGTTTCATTACTTTCGAAAGGTGATTTATGATGAATTTCTAAGTTCTATGTATACCTCTATGGTGTTATATTACGAAAGTATTTTCAAATATTTTCGAGGGTTTGATCGTGGGAATGGTTGGTCGCGCTCAACTAATGCCCTTAAAGAGTCAACCTCAGGTAATGTCAAGATACTTTCCAAAGCCTTACGCTTGTAGTGTGACATGGACTTAGTTTGCATGATGTTAGAAAGAAACATGTTTTTGGACATTTTAGAAGACTTTGCCTTGTATGATTATACTTTACCGATGTTTCATGATATTCAGTTGTTACGTCCTCGCATTTTTAAACAATTATGTTTTGTTAAACTTTTGGGACCGAATATTCCGCAACTATAACTTTTAAGTTGATTGTTTGGACTTCGTAAACTTTTATGGTTTATATTTGATTTTGTTAAAAATAAAATTGTACTCATTTTAAAAGAGCCCACAAGAGGGTTGTCCTCAATTGATATCAGAGCAATGGTTTAAGTGAACTAGGTGTTATTTAGGACAGTTCATAGACTTAAACTATAGTTGTTGGGGCAATTAGGGATCTATGAGTTCATCTTCTATATATTTAGTAATTGACATTATTTTAATCCTTTTTTTTTTTTTTTTGCAAACCATAGAGACCAAATTTGCAATTTACTCCTCATTCTATATAGAGAAAACTACAAAAATGATCTTTGTAGATTGTTGTTTTTTCGATGGAGTCCAAAATTTTGAACTTCGAAATATTTTTTGTAATTAATATAATGTATATATCGACATGTGTATATTTAACGCTTTAATAATTCAACTAAGAGGGTATTTACAATCCAAAATCTACGCAAAAGTTTAAATAAACCATACAAGTTTAAATAATTCAACATGCTAACTCTATGCTTCCTTTTCATTTACGAGTACAAAAATAATACGTTGGGCTTGGAAAGCCTAGTAAGCAATACCGAAATCTAGCTATGGAATATAATTCGGTAATAACAATAATCCAACTCCCAAGTCAAGACAAATGGATAGATATAATGTTTAAATATTTAAGTGATGCAACCGAATGTAAATTAAGTTTAGAGAGCTTTTATTTGTTGTAGACTTGTAGTACATGTGGTTATACTTATATAGTAGGATCTGAGGTGCATGCAAAACTTGGTATGGGACATAAAACTGACGGCTGAAGTTGTATAGTATTAGACTAGACAATATTAATATTAAATGGTAGTAATGTGTAATATTATGTAATACCTTTTCTACCCCTGTATTCTATTCTAGATACACAATAATACAAAATTACCAAGTTGAACTTGGTATCAGAGCTAGTATACCCTAACCCTAGTCGTCGCCATCCAATCCTCTTCCATCTGCTTAATCGATTTCAAAACGATGACAACTCTTGTCGCTTTCACCCAAGTCGAGAAAACAATCCACAACACACACAAGTTCGGATTCAAACTCTCCTCCACAAATTATGGGTACTGGAAAACAACGCTCTAACCCTTCCTTATCATTAACAACTTGTTCAACTATATCAATGGTACGATTCCATGTCCACCTACTATCTCTTTGGCTGCATCCTCTTTTGACAAAGATAAAGAACAGATCACTACAACACAAGCTAAACCGGAGTACACAATTTGGGTACAGAATGATGCTCACATCAGAATGTTACTCTTATCCACGATCTCTGAAAATGCCTTCCAACATGTCTAGGGAATCACATCTCGTGACTTATGGTTGGCCTTGGAACGTGTCTATGCCTCACACACGTCATCAAGGGAATATACCTTGAAAACTCAGTTATTAAAGCTCCAAATGAAACCTGGTGAATCCACTTCTACCTATCTTACTAGGGCTTAAGAAACATAGGCGAACCAAAAAAACGAAAAAGATGTTGTCATGCTTCTTCTATCTGGCCTCCGTGAAGAATAAAATGGGTTTAAGTCTACGATTCGTGCTCGCCAAACTCCTATTGCCTTTTTTGATCTTCATGCTTTATTATTAGATCATGACTACATGATTTCAAAAACATCTACTGAAGTCTCTCATGTACAAGCCTTTAATACCACAACTGCCATTCGAAAATCAAATACCACAACATGTTCTTCATAATCATCTCCAGATGCGGTTCAAGCAATACAAAAACTTGCTGCCAAATTAGGCTTTCAACTACACCCTTTCAGCTTACAACAACCTCAATCAAACTTCACAAATCCATCACAGAATAATTGTGATCTCCCTCAAAACAACCGATCTGGAAACATGGGACGTGGCAACTACACCAACCAGAATTAAGGTAACCGAAATCAGTTTAGTTGGGCATCTAACCAAAATATTGTATGGAACGTGTAACAGGTGTAGTATAGGTCATGTACCATCCCAATGTCCAAACCGAGATCCCAATACTTTCCGATCTCGATAACCACCATCCGTCAACTATTAGGGATGAGTATCGGAACCGGGTACTCGCTTTTGGAACCAGAACCGCCTCGGAACTGCCGGTTCTGCAACTGGAACTGCCTAAGCTGTTTCAGTTCCGCTTCCTAAAGTTATGGAACCGCCTTAAGTGGTTCCGATTCTAATTCTCATTTTTTCAGAACCGCTACCCGCTGGATACCCACCGAAACCGGTTTAGTGTTTCATATAAATATGTGTGTTACTTAGACCAGTTTAGAATATATTGGTCTGATTTTGTCCCTCTTTGGTCTGAATTGATTTGATTTGGATCGAACTAAGTTGCAGTTTTATCGACAAAAGTTAACAAAGTTGATTTAACCGGGTCACCCATTTCCCGGAACCGAAACCACTGGTTCCGGGACTGGTTCCAGAAATTTAAGAACCGCTTAGAGCGGTTCCGGTTCCGGTTCTAACTTTCTAGGAACCGCCGGTTCCAGTTCTGGTTCTCGCCAAATGAGGCGGGTACCCGCCTCTGCTCATCCCTACCAACTATGATGATTATCATTCACAAGCTTCAAATATTTGGCTTCGGGATACATGATCCGGTCACCATGTCGCCTCCAATTTCTCCAACCTTGACCACTCTGAAACCTACTATGGTGAGGATAATTTTCATGTTGGTAATGGTAAGGGTTTACCCATATTGCATGTTGGTTCTTCTCGTTTTTCCTCACCCAATAAAACGTTTGACGTCAAAAAAACTCTTCATGTTCCTATTATAACTCAAAACCTTCTTTCAATTCAGCAATTTTGTTTTGACAATAATGTTTATTTTGAATTTCACTCTACTTTATTTACTGTGAAGGACACGTCTACCCACAAAATCCTCCACACGGGTCCAAATAATGGAGGTATCTACTCATTCAATTTTCCTAGCATTCAACATAAAGTGTCTTTTTCTGCGATTCGTGCTTCCCCAACTATTTGGCATCATCTCTTGGGTCACCCTCATCCACAATTTTGAAATCTATGTGTTCTAAGTATAGTTGACCTTTGACAAACAGTTGTTCTAGTATTTTGTGTGATTCTTGTCTTATTGGAAAATCTTAAAAACTTCACTTATCTCATTCCAATGTTAAAAGTACTTGTATTTTAGATCTTGTGTTTTGTGATGTATGGGGCCCCACCCTAGTTACCTCTGTTGATGGTCATCGGTATTGTTTATTGTGCGTTGATCACTTTACCAAATTCATGTGGATCTTTCTACTCAAACGCAAATATGATGTATTTGATACATTTAAGCAATTTCTTCTCACTGTTGAATGCCAATTTAACACCAAGCTCAAATCAGTTCAAACAGAATGTTGGCCGGGGGGGATGAATTTCATAACCATTCCTCCATCTTTTCCACCATCGGCATTATCCATCACTTTTCTTGCCCACATACAAGTGAATAAAATGACCTTGACGAATGTCTTCATCGTAATGTCATTGAAACCGGCCTTACCTTACTTGCCAAATCCAATGTTCCACCAACGTTTTGGCACTTTGTTTTCGATATTGCCACCTATCTCATTAATCGAATGCCTTCTCGTACAAACTCAAATACCTCACCCTTTGAGCTTGTGTTTCATCATCCTCCTGACTACACATTTATGCATGTATTTAGGTGCCAATGTTATGGCTATTTATGTCCATACAACAAACACAAGATGGACTTTCGCTCTACATCATGTGTGTTTCTTGGTTATAGCACCTCCCATCATGGTTATCAGTGTTATGACCTACAAACCGAACAACTATGCATCGTTTGTCATGTATGCTTCAACGAACATTCATTTCCATTTACTAAAACTGCCATTTCTCCAGATACTTCTCTTTTCACACAGAACCATATTATTCATCATATCCCACTCCACTTCCTCTTAGTCCTAACCTTGAACATCCTTCCATTGTTGTTTCCACCAACCTAATCACACTTTCTCTATCTTTGTTCCTACCACATACCTATGTTCAGCGATCACAAGACCATGTCGTAACTTCTGCCTTTGACTGTTACACTCAAACAGAACCACCTCCTTCTTCCGCTATTCCTCAACCATCAACCGAATCCTCACCACCTTCCGACCTCCCCGACATCGTAAAAACACCCACAAACAACCAACCCAACTCCACAACGACCTTCATTACCACAACTCGTACATGTCCTTCCCATATCAAACAAAACCCTAAACCTAATACCAAATACGCCTCTTCCTTTCATACTCAGCCTTCCACCTCTGAAAATGAACCAACATCATTTACTATTGCTAACAACATCCTCAATGGTGTCAAGCCATGGTTGATGAGTACTCTGCACTCTTACGGAATAACATATGGTCTTTAGTTCCACGTGTTCCTGATACTAATGTGGTTGATTGTAAGTGGGTTTACAAGGTTAAACGTGATCAAACAGGGTCTGTCACACGCTACAAAGCTCGTTTGGTGTTAAAGGGTTTTCGACAACAACCTGAGTTTGATTATCATGAAACATTTAGTCCAGTTGTAAAGTCTACGACCATTCGTCTTGTTGTTTCCTTAGCAGTTGCACAAAATTGGTCTCTGCGGCAACTTAATGTTCAAAATGCTTTTCTCCATGGTGATTTAAAGGAGACTGTCTACTTACAACAACCACAAGGGTTTGTTGACCCCAAGAAACCGGATCATGTGTGTCTTCTGCACAAGTCTCTTTATGGTTTAAAACAAGCACCAATGGTGTGGTTTCAACGACTGTCTATGGTTTTACAACGCCTTGATTTTCTTGGCTTCAAAACCGACCCATCACTCTTTATCTATACTAAAACGACACTCTTCTTTATATGCTTGTCTATGTGGATAACATTATTTTGACAAGAAATAACCCGGAGGCTATTACTCAAGTTGTTCACAGTCTTGGTTATTCGTTTGCTATTCATGATATGGGCAGATTGTCTTATTTTCTGGGAATCGAGATTATTCCATGAGACAAGGATATTGTGTTGTCACGACAAAAATACATTATGGAGTTACTTGAGCGTGCACACCTTTACAACGCAAATCCTATGCCTACTCCTATAGCAACCGATGCCAACCTTGCTCTCGGTGACAGTCCTCCCCTCAAAGATCTGGTTCAGGTTCAATATAGACAGATTGTAGGCGCTCTTCAGTATGTTACTCCATCTCGATTTGACATTGCCTACGTTGTGAACAAAGTATGTCAATTTAGGCATTCACCAACAGTTAATCATTGGTCTATTGTCAAGAGAATCGTGCGTTATCTCAAGGGTACTTCTTTCTATGGTCTTCTAATCCATCACAACTCTGAGACTTCTCTTTATGCTTACAGTGACTCAGTGTTTACCAATCTTAGCGCATTTTCCAATGTTGATTGGGCTTATTGCCCTGATGACCGTCGATCCATATGGGGGTATGCTATATACATCGGATCTAATCTTATTTCTTGGTCGGCACGAAAACAAAAGAGTGTATCTCGGTCTTCAACGGAATTTAAATACAAAGCATTGGCAGATATTGTTGCTAAACTCACATGGTTACCAACTCTGTTACATGAACTTCGAGTACCAATGAAGAAAGTCCCGACACTATGGTGTGACAATCTAGGAGCGACATATCTCTCATCAAATCCGGTGTTTCATGCCAGAACAAAGCATGCTGAAGTAGATTTTCACTTTGTTCGTGAAAAGGTGGCTCAATGAAGTTTATCGATAGAGTTTATCTCTACAGACGATCAGATTGTAAATGTGTTCACAAAGCCTTTATCCTCTCAAAGATTTTTAGACTTAAGAAACAAGCTAAAGGTCGCTTCCCTGCCTTAGCTTGCAGGAGAATATTAAACTAGACAATAATAATATTTGATGGTAGTAATGTGTAATATTATGTAATATATATTCTACCCTTGCATTCTATTCTAGATACACAATAATACAAAATCACCAAGTTTAACTTATTGATATAAACCAACAGTAATTCTAAATTTAACAATTAAAAAAAAACCTTGTTCTCGGTGTAATTCCTTCTTATTTTACTTTGAATAAACAAACAATGTCATTTAGATAATAAATTGAAATACTTTAATAACTAATCTAAAACAAAATCAAAATTCAAGTGTGAAATAAGCTAGGTTGCATTTGATACAAGGTAAGAATTTTTTTATGACAAGGAGAGGAAGGACATTTATGTATTTTACGCAATTTGAGAAATCCCATCTCAATGATTTCTTTCTATTTTTCTGGTTCTTGGTAACCATTGGTTTCAGATGCAGCTTTTGCATCTGACACCTCATTGCTGCTTTTACTTTCACCCGTAGTTTTTGTCTGCCACATTTATTCACGTTTCTTTTTAAATTAATATAGAAAAAAAAAGACTTAATAGAAAAAATCAACAAAATGGATCCCATCAAGAATACTACCTACCTTGTTCCTGTCACGCCAACCAAGTCCAAATGAAAGTATCCCCGGCCTTCTTCCAGCTGTGTTAGATTCCGGACGAATTAACCTATATATATTAAAAATATATATTTTAACATATAGTAATATTATTAATAATAGTAATTGTAATAATAGCAATAAGATAAGTAGCCTTACCCTGTTGGTTGTACTGCTTTGACTTGACCAGAATTGTATTGCATTGTTGCCTCTAAAGTAGATTCCGCCATTACAACTCTCTTTTCCATTTGAGCAAGAGTATACACAGCTTCTTCATACTTCCTCTGCATATAACATATATTTAAAAAAAAATAAAAAAAAAAAAAAAAAAAAAAAAATTATTTAGTTTTCATTCATTTGATTTCCTTTGTTCTAGAAGAGTAAATTAATATTTGTTTATAAAGAGTAGAGTAGTTTACCTCAAGTACATTCACTAAATATCTCTGAGCAGCTGCATCTTGCTCTGCAGATTTACGAGCATCTTCTGCCACCTTTTGTTCTTGCTCAACTCGCATTAAAACCTAAATTAATTAATACATTTTAAAGTTTTAGATCGATCTGTATCAATATGAACAATAAATCACAACAATTAAATATTAAAACATTTATTTAAACCTCAAGCATTTTTTTCTCCTGTTCTTTCTTATCAGCAAGAAGTTGGTGCAACTCATTAACCTCTCGTTCCATATGCTCAATCTGTAATTTATTATATTAATAATCATTTTTTCCATTATGTGTTGCCACATATAACATAAGGGAGTCCTTTTTATTTAATCAATAAAGTTGGTAGAAAGTCATGTTTACTAAGGCATACATACCAATATAACATTTCCAAAAGCATATACATAGCTTCTGGTGTATATAAATTTTTATCAAGCAACAAAATGAGAATTTTTGCCAAATTCACCACTAATTTGGCATATTTCTTTATATCAGTAATTTTCCAAATTAACCATTATATACAAGTCAAAATGGTTAACTTGGAAACATGTCTGAAACGTTTATGGTTTAATTGGGAAACAATAACGTATAAACGGTTATGGTTAAACCATAAAAATTGCCCAAAATACAATGGCAATTCTGTAATTTCCCTGAATGAATATATACCTTTGCTGTCAGTTCACGCCTATTATCTTCTTTAGCCATCTCCATGAGTGCTATCTCCAACTCCTCAGCTCTAAAAAACCATAAACAAATTTAACAACAGAATTTATGCCAAAACATTTCTTAAAATCTAAAAAAAAATAAACCTTATTGTAGCGGATCTCTTGTCATCCAGCATTGAACACAACTGAGCCTTCAACCATACAACCTATACATACATATAAACTATTGAATAGATACAAGTGCTATAATCTATATATTTCCTATGATTAATTGAATTACCTGATCTTGAAAATCAGGAAGAGAGTCAACTTCTGTAGTCATGGCAGCAATATTAAGAGAGTCATCAGGTTTAGGAGCAGTGTTCAAATTTGTGTTGTCATTTGTTAATCCTTGTTTCATACTAGGTTGTCGTACAAGTGGCTTAGGTTCATGTTTGAAACTGTATAATTTAGTAGCAAGTCCTTTTGGATCTTTCCTTATAGCATCTCCTCTTTTTCTTTCTTCAACTGCTGCAATCACATCAGGTCTGTGTTTCTCTCTAAGTTGTTGTAATGTATCTTCTGTTACATATGAGAAACTTATGCAAGCAGTCACAACAAGATTGCTGCTATCGAATGTTGAACTGACAAGTGATTGCATTGAAGTGATTGCATCTCCTGCATCTCTTGTTGTACATAAATCAGGACCTGTTTGTAAAAAACTTATTGTTACTTATTAGCCACATAGGAATGATACATAATAATAATTATAATTATTAAAATGGGAATGAGTTTGGGATTACCATATAGCTCCATTAAAGCCAATGCAGTTCGTAGTAACATTGCGCGATTTCCTTCGAATAAAATTACATCCCAAACACGAAGAACTGAAGGTAAAAGAAAAGTGATGTTTATTGTTGAAAGATAATTTTTTTGTTTGTGGAGTGTTATGTGTAAAGAAAGATATATAATAAGGGGTTACCACTTTCCCATGGGATCATGTTTACAAAGATGGAAAGAAACCATGGTCCACAAATCCAACCCATTTCAACTCCCAACATGTTAAAATGATTAACTGTAGAAAAAGAAGAAAATTAATCATGGGGATGTTGTAAGTTATAACTTATAAATAAAAAGGTAAAATGAATTCTGTTATAAGTGGTGTCAATGGAGAAACCTAGTTTAGGATATCGTTCACGCATTAAATCTTCAAAAACAAGTTGATCCACCTGAATAACAAGAGTCTTGAATTCAGAAAGTAAACATATAACATAAAGATAATAACCAATTTCACCTGTTATTAAAAAAGTATTGTTTTATATGAAATGTAGGGATAATTGAAAGACATACCTGGGATTCGATCATGTCTGTGGTGAAGTATCCATCAAAGTAATCATCAATCATGCCAACCAAAGTCCTGAAAAGATTCATTGTAGTTTTAAGTAATCAAGTAATATGTCAATGGGTTTATCAAAAAGGTAATTTTGGTGAAAAAGTTACAGTATCTTATCTTAGTTGTGTAAAGAGTGATAATGAAAGAAGGATAACAAAAACGAATACATACCAAAAGGCATTTTCTTCAGGCATCATTAGTAGTAACATTGCAGCAAAAAAATTCATTGCCTACACACACAGGTTTATTTATATATGTCAATATAAAGAAAAGAAACAAAACATTGAATGAATTTGTGAAAATGTAAACAAAGTGACACCTGGCAATACCCAACATCAGGGTTATGGCGAGCATATGCTAAAAGTAAGCGTCTCAAGGAGTCCCTACCCTCTTCATTTAATGCAGGATGACCTGGAAATGTTCTTGGTAAATCCTGCCTTGTTCAAAAGAATACACTATTAGTCCACAAGAAAATTTGAAGAAGTTAAGGTAAATAAAAGGGGGAATCAACACCAATTAATAACCTTTTCAATTTGTTTTTTACATTTTTCAGGCACAGCTGCCTTTTCTCCTTTTTCCCCTAATCTTTTTGGATTTGATTTGATCTGATCATGCAATTGTTTGTTTCCAGCATCTCCTACCTCCAACAAATTCTGGTAGTATCTCTCCACCCTACGTGCTTTCACACCAACAAAAGCTTGCCATACCTGTAGTAACAATTATATAACTAATAATCTTTTTTAATGCTTAAAAAGTATAATAATATTGAGAAGCAGAAGAAGATGATGAAGAAGAAGAAGAAGAAGATGATGATGATGAAGAAGAAGAAGAAAAAGGCACCTCTCCTCTAAGCTCTCTAGGCACACCACCACGAACAAGTGACTCAAGTTCTTTCCATGGAAATACAGGATTTGGTTTTTCATCATCTGTTGTTAACTCCTCTGTGGAGGGTCCCACTCCCTCCTCTTGAACATGTTTTTGAGGATTGTTGACACGATGACACATCATATCTTCCATGGTGTTGAGAGATGTTCTGACATCTGTCCAGTTTTGCAAGGCATGCTTCTTTGCTGGTTTTGCTGCCTCTGAGACAACTTTTTCAGGAACATTTTCTGTTTGATTGTTGTTAGTATTATTATTACTATTATCTTCTGTTGGCTTCTTGTCACTTAAAACATCTCCCTCTTTTTGAGTTGATTCCAAGACATGATTGGTGTTCTCTTCTGTAACCTCAGCATCATCAGGTTTTTTGATGCTCGAGTTCAATCGAACAAGCTCTTCTTGCTGCTCGAGAAAGGACCTCCATTTTGTTGACCTTTCTTCTTCCTCCTTCTGCAGTATGAATGGAACATAATTGATGCATATTTTTTACCTAATTCAGAATTCTGAAACATTCACATATTACCTTATAGATACTATCAAACTCTTTGAATGTGTCAAGGTACTGAGGTCTCACAGTAAATCCATATGCATCCCTGTGGGTTCAATTTCAATCACCAATTAATTCATGAATTGTTAGATAACTTAGCATAATTACAAGTGCATGAAAAAGGAGCGAGTAATTTCTCAGGTAGTATATCTTTTATGCTGCAAAAAGACATAAGCTGGAAGAAAACGAAGAAGATAACCGAAATCATACCTGGAATCTGCATTTAATGTTCTCTTACTCAGCAAGGATAACAACATACTTCATAAACGTTACCAATTCTACTTCCCATATCGTTGCTTTTGCTTCAAACCATGAATGCGAAGTTGATGTTATTCTAAAATCTGAAGTGAAAACTAAGATCTAGGATTCCCACTCTACACTATTTGTTGGTGCCAAATACACGAAATCCAGAGCATAATCATCATATAATATAATATTTCCCACTAAATCGTCAAACTAATCCGAATCAAATAACTCAAACCCTACGGAGAAACAGAGATTAACCCGTATAATGCCATCAAATCTGAATGCGCATAAAAGCTGAGATCGAATACCGACTTCTTTTAGCGTCAAAAAGTGGAAAAACCCCAACATAATCGAACTAATGAACCCAATTCCGAAAACTCGTAGAACAAACAGCCCTAATTCTCGATTGAAATGTGATCGATCCCCTTCTTCACCTTGATTGCGAATGTCTGAAACGACCTTCCTGAAATTTCTGACGTTAATTTTATCTAAAACGATAGCTCAAAAATAATTTAACTAAAAATAACGGAATTGAGTACGCGTGTAATTAAAGAACACATATATCTATGCATGCAGTGTTGTATGTATAGATATAACGATACGTATATGCATCATGTATGTGCTTGTAAAATTACCGTTAGGTCTCGATATCCTGGAAGAAATATAGCGCCATTTCCGGCAATTTCGATTGATCCAGCGGTTTCATTTGAATTTATTCAATATCAAATAATGAAGTTATTACAAAAAAAAAAAAAAAAAACTATAAAAGAAATATTTTATTTTATTTTTGCTATTATAGCTGACTAGATGTATGAGTAATGAGTTAGACTTTAGAGGATGTAAAAAACTTCTGTGAGACTCTTACCTCGATAAACTTTGTGTGTAATGACCAATGACGAGTCTAAAACAGAAAACTATATGGCTCCTTTCTATAGAAAATTTTCTATACAAACTTAAGGATTTTATGGGTAAGATAGGTCCTAAATTATTTTTAAGGTGGTTCACCAAAATTTTCCTATAGTAATGTTATATAAACTAAAAAAAATAGGTGGGTCATTGGACCAACCTTACATACACATAGCCTTCCTCCTAGTAAGGACACTCAAATGCATCCACAAGTCTTGCCCATATATGTACATTTACTAAAGTGATTCCATTAGTTGGTGGAAACTGATATAGTGGAAGAGGTCCGGTAGAAACCAATGTAGTGGAAGAGGGTCTGATAAAAATCTATCACATCCGGTAGAAATCAATTAAGTGTGGAAAGCAACAATCAAGCAAAATCTATTATGTGTAGAAATTGATCTAGTGGAAGAGGGTTCAGTAGAAACCAATAAACTTATTCAATAGGTTTCTTTGGAGAATTATAAGTATTTCGGTGATGACAACGTTGCTACATATGTTGATGGTGATGTTGCTACATATAAGGATTATCATTATTGAAATGTGCTTCTTCTTGTTTATGATTTTAATATACCTCCTCATCGAGAGCCTTTAAAATATTATTTGGGGATATTTAACATTGAAAAAATTAAAGTAATTTCAAAGATGGCTTGTCAGAATGATGCAATAAAAACATCAATCTACGGTATGATCCCCCACAATGCCATATCCAAACCTAGTTTATTAATTTGTATATCATAATAAAGGTAACACCTACAAACGTTAAAAAACAAAGCTCTTCGACTAGCTCTTTGGATTTAAATGTGTTCAAAAAGGTTATCAATAAAATATCAAAATATATGCAAAATAAAGGTTTAAGGCAATAGTTATTGGTGAAAATGCACATAACGTGTTATGACTAGGCTAGTTAAGTATATTTGTAACATCCTGTTTCGGATAGTGTATGATTTAGGGTTTGTGGGCTGCAACCCGGGCATGAGGAATCTAACTTATAACGAAGCGTAGGGCTTCTCGCCACCTTTCGGTGGATATAAGGTTCGTTGGAAACTGACTTATAATGAAGAAGTTATGATAGTTTGAAGTTTTGGCAAGTTTAGTCCTTTATTTGAGAAAGGTGGTAGCTGAGTATGCGGGGCATACGCATGTGTATGCTCAGCGTACTCATGTGCGTGTTTTGGACGCGGAAGCCACCTAGTAGGCTGGACGTACCAGAGGGTATGCTGGGCGTACTAGGCTCAGAGTGAAAACCCTAAATATGGGGTGTGTCCCTATTTAAGGAACATGGTGGCCTCATTTCTGGCCACCATTTCCAGTCATCAACTCCCCTCAAAACCCTAATTTTCGTTCTCTTAGATTAAGTGGCCATTTTAAGCTTTTGAGTGTTCTTGTAAGATTCTTTGTGTGAAGAAGGAGCTTTGAAGAGAATAGAGTTGGAGTCCAAGCTTTGGATCTGAGTTTTCGTGTGGTTGGTGTATCATTTGAAGGTATCAAGCTCAAAGCTTTCTCATTGTTTTGATTTGTGCATCTTATGGTTCATTTTAGGGTTTATGTCCCAAAGCTTGAAGCATTATGAGTTTGTTGAACTCCACAGCCTAATACATGTCTCTTTAAGTGTCTCTAGTGGAGTAAACTCATTAAAATGGAACCTTGGACATTAAGATCTTCCCATGCATAATGTATGAGAACTTTTGTGAGTAAAGAGTGGGAGTTTATGAGTTCTAGACTTGCTCAGCCATGCAAAGGCTTAAAGTCACAAACTTTATGGAGTATTAGGCTTTAGTGAGTCCAGATCTGAGATTATAGTTATGGTCTTAACGGGTTAATACCAAGAGAATGGGATAAGCAAGTCTGGGGCGTACATTGGGCGTACTCCCATATACGCTCACCGTAGCGACGAAGTTTCCTGATGCATGCATCGCAAAGTAGTACGCCCAAGGTAAAGGGTTGTACGCCCAGCGTACGCGCTTGATGTTGACTTTTGTTGACTTTTCGGATTTGGTCAAACTGTGGACTTTTGAGGCCATGGAGATGTAAAACGGTCTTTTATCCTTCTAAGAGTTAGTAGAGGGTTTAGCCTAACATCTTTGGGGGTCGTTTATTATTAGAGTTAATTACGATACATGTTAGGCGGAAGCTAGACTGGTGGTTCGTGTACGAGACATACTTGTTTTACTTACGAGGTGAGTTTTCTCACTATACTTACCTGAGTGGTAATATTGTGTAACCGGAGGGTCTTATTGTAACGCCTGTGTTTCCGGGCTTGCCATTTTTATCAATGTAATGGTCTAGGTTAACCTTTGTAACCCGTTTTGAAATAATAAGATTGTATTATTTGAGTATTATGTGTTTTGTGCTTAATTGCTTAATTATGTGGTTTAATTATGTGGTTTGACTAATTAAGAATAAAAATAAGCGTCAAAATTTAAGTGTAAAATAAACTTGATATCTTTAGATAATGTTGTAGTAGTTGAAACAAGGTTTCCGAAGATATAAAGAATGTCGAAATCCGAGTTATAACGAGGAAGTTATGACCTGTCGAAGTTTCGCGACAGAACCGGCACGACACAGCGCGACGTAAAAAGTGAATTTATGTTAGAGCGATATTTAGCCTTAGCAATCTAAATGAAAGTCGTAGAGTACGTCAAACCATGAGCGTGCATAAAAAGAACGCCCAAATCTGACTTCGTATGAGGAAGTTATGATTTTTCGAAGTTTCGACTTAACAGTATGCAGCCCGAATGCTCGATTTGAGACCGAGCGGTTTTTAGCCGAAACAATCTAAATGAGAATTGAAGATCTCATTAATTGTAGTAAAACGATAAAAAGATAGGCGAAAACGGACGTCGGATGAAGAAGTTATGATTTTATAACGGAGTTTTCCTGTCCCGGCCTACTAAAAATAAATAATAAAAAATAAAGTAAAAATTAGCCTACGGAGTCTAAACGAAAGTTGTAGATCGTAGTCTCACCTACGCGTGGATATAAAGAGCGTCGAAAACGGAGTTCGTATGAGGAAGATATGAATTTTTGAAGTTTATTTAATAAATTCGGTATTTAATTTAAATAAAAATTCGCTGATATTATCCATGGGGAGGGGAGTCACCGGCCTTATCCCCGTTACGCCCCGCGTACATGAATTACGCCCCGCGTAAATCGCAGATCCAGCCTCCTATAAATAGGATGCGAAGGGTCCGGGTTTATTTGCTAATTTCCTCTCGTTTTTGTGCCGAAGCTCTACGTTTTTACCCCCGAAGCCATCCCGAAGCCCCGGTAATATTCCCGAGTCCCGAAGCGAGTCCCAAGATCCCGAAGATCCCGAGAAGTGCGGTTTCCGAGCCGAAGCTCTGCCCGCGAGAAGTTCGATTTTCGTAGAGATCTTCCAGATCTGCTGAGGATTACGACTTCTGCAAGCCGTAGTGCTGTCCGATCATCTTCTGATCAAGTGAGTGTATACTACCTTTCATAAACGCAATAATAATACAAGTATGGTTTGAGTGTATTAAGTTTATCGTCGTTTATACGTGCGAAGGCGTTGTTACTTTCTCCTAACGTATAACTATAAAGTATTTTATACGAGATACGTGTTATGTGTATATTTTGTTGTTATGTGTGTGAATGTATATTCACCTTCTTCTATCTTACAGATATGATTATTTCTATATGAAATACGTGTTATGTGTGTGTGCCTCATCTGTTATATGGAAAATGTATTGATCAAGCATGCTATACAGGTTTTGAAAATATGTATAAAAATGTATGTTTTTATCTACTAATATGTTGGGTAGAACATGGGTAGATAGTTGGTGTGTAATAAACAGATGAGAGGCCTCGTTGTTGTTTTGATCCAGTCATCTAGCGGAATTTAGATGACGACCACGGACTTTTCTAGACAGTCCAGTGGAACGCTAGCAGGCTCATAACCTGTAGGTGTTAATGAACTTGGGTGTTCATTCGTTGTATTCCATCCCCCTCATGGTTGCCTTATTTGACTTATATTGCTGAGGAAACCCCGCAGCATGTGTTGTCACCCCGATGAAAATATTCTTAGATTAGGTCCCTTGTGTTAGTTATTTTAGGGACATAAAGTGAGAATAACGGGAATGGGTAACTGGGTTATTGTTGGTTGATAATTAATTTAATTATTTATTGTGGGTTGAAAACCCTATATGCTCACCAGGCTCCCAAGCCTGACCCACTCAGTTTTATTTGTATTACAGGAAGTGGCGCAAGGGCGTAAGATGGATGAACCATCAAGTTGTTTTGTTTACAAGTCTGTATATGTAAATATTTGTTGAATGACTTGTAATGTTATCGTTTATGCTTATTGGTCTATATCGGAACATGACACCCCGAGTTTTGATTATAATGAAAATACATTTCTTTTATGAAATGCTTCGGTAAACATTGTTTTATCATGTTTTGTTTTTGGGAACAAATTCCGCAACTCTTTCAAATCAAAAGGATTTACTCTGAATTTATTTTAAAAGCATAAATGAAAATCGGTCTTTTCTGGCCGAGATTTTAGGGATGTCACACTTATGTGCTTATACTGAGTTACGTGATATCATGCATTTTGTCTTTGTGATTTATGATGTATATTACTCCTGTGCCTTATTGAGTTATTTTGTTCTTGTGAGACTGGAGGGTCTTCATTGAGATACCGGACCGGAGGGTCCAACCCGAGCTATGAGACCAGAGGGTCTTCACGGAGACACATGATCGGAGGGTCCTTATTGAGATATAGCCATGAGAGGCTAATTATTTGTGTGAGGTATTTTGGGGTACTCAGTAAGCTTCGTGCTTACCGTGTTGTGTGATATGTGTTTCAAGTACTTTTCCGGATCACGGGAAGGCGCTGACTTGATTGTACACACCTGTTCAAGACTGTGTTGAGGATTCTGGGATATTATTAGTTGTTTTGGTGATCTGTGTTTTTGATATTTGATACATTATGGTTTTTGAGAAAGTATGATAACGAGTTTTATGTGATTTAAAAATGAAAAAAAAAATTGTTTGGAATTTTACGGCATTACAATATTGAAGTTTTCCGATTCTATAAATTTGTTAACAAACACGCTTATTAAAAAATGTGATTGCACCAAATCATTACCAAGTCGATTAAAAGGTGGTGAGGTATTCACAGAAAAGAGGTTATTGCTATTAATCATAGTAAAAAGTACTAGAGAAAGGAATCTTTTAAGATTTCGATACAAAGTTTAAAGTTGATATTTCTTAGATCTAGGAAAGTTTGATATAGGATGAAAGACAAAGAGAAGATTGTTTGGTTTTGGTGGTGCACATCTACGGAAAGAAGAAGAAAATTACTTGGTGCTTTTATAGGTTGCATTGTGTCGAAGGTTGAAGCTTTATTGGCTGATTCGTGACCATTGGACTCGCATCTAGAATATAGACCAATTAAGACCGGCCAGATCGAGATTAACTTGTAGTTTTTGAGACCCGTTTGACATCATAATGTTCACTACCGATTGAGATTAGAGGTGGGCAAAAAAATTGTTTCCTGATGCGAAACCGATTTTGAATCCGAAGTCAGATCTTCTCTTAAACCAATTTTGGTGAAACTGGTTCGGTTCATAATTTGATCTATTGGTTCGATCCATATTTATATTATAGCTATTAGCATCGTTTGAGACTGTTTTTTCACAAACTGGTTTGACGAATCGATATTCTATCTGATTTGAAATCATTTATTCCAAGAAGAACACTAATCATTTGTCGCCTCTTTTCTTTGAGGAAAAGTCATATGACTGTTTTTCAGCTTTTATGGTCGATTTTTACCTAAAAGTCCATTTTTCCCCTCAATTGATTGTATTATATAGATATTGGATCTTGAGGTTTAATCACCCAACTCAAAAACATTCATAAAACGCAAAAACACTCTCAAGCAACGGCGTCTGCATGTGGGCAATCATAATCTTTGGTTGGTGTTGGAGAATCGCCAAGTAATATTATGATTGTCACCATCAAAATGACGACAAGAAATCCAACAATTTGGTGAATTATGATTTGTGTAAAATGTTGAGTGCTTCGAGAAAGGCACGATGCAAGAAATGTGAGTTTTTTTTTCTTCAGGAAGACGAAAATTCAACTTTGCTAAAACATTCAAATATTTATTGCAAAGCGATGAAATTTGGATAGACATAACCAAACAACAATGAGGAACGGTGCTACATTGTGGCATTATGGAGCGAGTCGAGTTCGGAATAGGATGGCGAAGTTCGTGATTCAAAAGAGTTTGTCTTTTGACAACTTCAACAATTCTTGACAAAACTCATCCATGAGAACTCAGCAACCATATTATTTTCATGCAAGTCGTTCAACGTTTAGACATGATTGTATAGAATTGTGGAAACTTGTACAAATTGAAATGATTTCACGATTTTAATCTCTAGAAACTATGTTAACCTGTAATTTTAGACAACTCCACATAATTTACTGGATTTGAACTTCGTGTTACTATTCATTGGGTAAATCCCAATATGGAAAATGATGAAGCGATGTAACTTCCTATTTCCTATTTTATTTTAAATAATAATTATTAATGATTACATCAATAATATCGTTTATTTAAAAATATTAAATATAAAAATATTTAACCACTTGAAAACGAATTGTAGAGGGTTAAACAAGAAATCTACGAGGAAGAAATAATGATGTGAATGTCAATACAAGTTACTATACAAAAGTGTTATTACGAAGATGAATTATGCATTGTGAAACAAGAAGAATTGTGCAATGTGGAACAAGAAGACTAAATCTAAACAACAATTACTATCAACAGTCAAAATAACCAAAAAGAATAAGGAAAAAAAACAAGAACTACGACATTATGCTTTATGCTTTATGTTTTTATATTTGAAGATGTATTATTTCATTTCTATAACCAAAAAAAATGAAAAAGAAAATTAAGAAAATTGCTCCCAAAAAATGTCTCATGCCTTCACTTTGCCACAGGTTCACATTCACTTTTTTTTTTTTTTCTTCTTGGGCCAACCATTAAGACACAAAACCACATAAACAGGCTTTTGAAAGTATAAGGAGAACACTTCTTGTGGGCTGAGACAATTACAAAAGTTCAATTTGACCGGTTTTCTTTCCAAACCGGACTGAGACAATGGATGCTTACACAAAAAAGCCGATAACACTACAGCAACTACTACATCAATGGGACATCAATTTCTGTGAAAAATAGAAGGCCTTTGACTGCTGCCTCGTTTATCCAATTCTACTGATCCATCGTCAACTCAAAACCCCAAGGAAGCCGCCATCTTTTGAGTTAATCAACCACAATTTGGACAAGCTTCTTGCGACTTCTAAAACATGGAAAGTAGTAGCGGAGGCGTAATTGTATCAAAAGGGATGCAGAATCCATTTACTTTGAAGGTGGGTAAAGTATTCACTGGATTTGGCGTCGGTTGTGGTGCTGGTATCGGCGTTGGCAGGCCTATAAATCTAGGTAATTTCTCTTCATCTATGTTGTTCAATAACACGATGAAATTTGGGGGAATTTTTAAACCTAAAGAGGGGGAAAACCATGATCCTAGTATGCTGTTTTTTTCAACTATTTAATTGCATGTTTTGCTATTTTGAAATGTGGGCTTGTTTTGTTATTGAATTTTGATTGCATTATATGTCCCTTGAAGATATATTTATGTCATTTCGGTTGCAATATATAGCTTTATCTGTCCCTTTAGGTCATAATTTCCAACAAAAGATTGGCTTAATGTTAATACATGGTAAAATTAGCTCTACGAACTGGAAAAAACTCACAAAAGTTTAAGCTTTTATAGAAGTAACGAAACTGTATGTGACATTTGTAATGTTCATTTGCTTCCTCTATTCTTACCCATTCCATTACAATTTTGAATGCATTAGTGGTTATGTTTGAATTTAACAGGTGCAATACCAGTATTAAATGAAGTAATGGGTGCTGCTAGAGGAGCAACAGATGTTTTTTCAGGTGTTGGAAGGCATGCCAACAACTCTGTAAGCTCATTTAGGTTGTATACTACTTACTTTTCTATATTATTATTAGATCATAAAATAATAATAATAATCATATCCATTTCAGTTGAATAAGGTAGGAGCAAAAAACGTTAAAGTAGGCATTGGGTGTGGAGTTGGTTTTGGCCATGGTTTTGGAGTTGGTATGCATTTTATATATCACCTATTGTGATGATATTGATTTTTTAGCAATTTATTTTACCCTTTTTGTTAATCAAAAAATCAAAAACAGTATTTTATTTCCATTACAGGTCTTGGTATAAAGCCTTGGGTGTTACAGCAAATACAAACAAGCCTTGTAGTATGTCACTTCTCTTGAACATAATCATCATCATCTAGTCTGTTGTGTTTTCTATAAACCCTAAGTTTTTTGCATCTTAATTATATGACAATACTTCAAATATTCTCCAGCAAACAGCTACAAAGTTGATGATGAAATTTGGAATGACACCCAACTTATCAAGTGTTACTGGAGGCATGTTTCCCCAATCATTACAATTACAAAGTGGTATTAAGACTAAGAACATAAACACAACTATGACACAAGAAAATGTGTCATTAAAACCTCCATTGACTTCATCGTATGCGAATCATACAGAGAAGGTTATCAACAACTTCTTGAAAAATCCTCTTCTAGAAGGTGAAGCGAAGAATCAGGTATACAAAAATGTAACTTTTTTTTTCTTGAAATGTTTACAACTTGTGGCTTGATGCGTTTTAAGGAATGTATTATTTGTAGGTGGGTCCCTTGCATTCTAAGGAGGAGGTCATTGAATTGGTATGTTTTTTTGACTTTTGAAGTGAAAACGAAGTTTCAATTGGTATGAAAAGTAGCAAGTAAAATGATTGAATATGTCTGTTGTAGGTTTTAAAACAACAACTTGCTCTTGAGAAACTTAAGGAAGAAAATGAGAAGCTTCGGGAAATATTAGTGGAAGACTTGAAAGTTTCACCTGATAAGTTTAAAGTCAAAGTCAATGGGTATTATTCAGGTACAAATACGTATACATGTAATGATTGTTTGGAGTGTCGAAGGAGACAAAGAAGAGATAGGAGAAAGTAAGTAAAAGTGTATACTCAATTACTTAAATCAATGAGAAATGCTTTTTTTTTTTTTTCTTTCACAACCAATAATGATAAGAGTAAGTTACAATTTTGGTCCCTGTGGTTTGCGTTTTTGACACCAATGGTCCCTATCCCAGTCGTTTATTCGAATTTCCTGCAACTTTCATAAACGGTCCTGTAGTTTATTAGTTTTAGTAGTTTTGGTAAGAAAAGGGAATCATAAAAATGAAAAAAAGCAAGAGCATTTTAGTCATTTTATGCAAGAGAAAATGAGTCATTTTATATGTATTTAATTGAGGATAATGGGATAGGGAATTAGGGACCAAATCTGATAAAATTGCCAACCACAGGACCAACTGTAATTTACTTTAATAATAATGATGATAACAACTATAATCAAAAGTAGGGGTGTAATAACCCGTTTATTATACGGGTCGTGTGGATTGACCCCGATCGGCTTATTTTTGTTAGATTAAAAAATTAAAATATTTATTTATTAAATAAATAAAATAGTAAAATGAGAGCAAGGACTGATATGAAATATATAGACCTTACTCTCCTTACTCCTTTATCTAATAAATAAAAAATTTATCTTTTTCTTTTTAATCTAATAAAATTAAAGGGTTGATGGGTCAATCCGTGAAACTACTTGCGAACACAAACACAGGAATTTGTTTGGGGAAGAAATTGGAATTGTAGCCATGTCTTTTTTTCATTAACGTTTTTTATTTTTTATTTGTATCTTGGATTTGGATGTGTTTGCATGAAGGTTTTTATTTTTTATTAGGATGTGTTCGTTTGTGTTTGCACAAATATTTTTAACATTATTTGGATGTGTGTATTAGTTATTTTTCTAGAATTTGGATGTGTTTAGTGGTTTATTTTTTCTGGAATTTTCTCTAATTAAACAAAAATGACCCACCAATCTGATTATATGACCCACTAACCTACCCATATAGTTAAAGGGGTTAGATGGGTCATGTTTGGGTTTGGAAATGGCCCCTTGACTAACAGTGTTAGTAAAAGACTAGACTGTTAATTTATTATTATTATTATTATTATTATAAAACTGCTTACACATATTTTTGTTCCAAGCGAGAACCTTTGGCTAATGCATGCATATCTGTTGAACTCCTAATATCGGTAGGCTAAAGGCTGTTAAGTTATCTAAAATCACTGTGTGGTCTCAATATCTTCAAAGAAATCAAGCGCCATTTGTGGCTCAAATTCCACAAAAATCACTAAAACAAACAAATTAAAATTTATTCTAATGGCGACTGCTTCTTGCACGATTTATAGAATTTCATCTCTGGTTCATAAATTGAATTGTGATGGTGCATGTGTTGAGTGGCGAAAAATATTTTCAAAAAAAAAAAAGTGCCAAAAGGATGAGACCCACTTCCAAATAGGGTCTTATAATAACTAATTTTAATAGAGTAGCTTGTGTCACATACACAGTATTTGAGTAGATTTTTGCTATTAAAGATGTCCAATGTTATCTTTGCCTATTGAGGACTATTCCTTCTTTCATTATATAACTACAATACATCATAAATCAAAATGGCATTATAGAACACTTTTTGAAGAAACAGTCATTTATTTACATCATATAATGATTTTAATACACACAAAAATAACATAATGATGTTTTTAAGCATCAAATGGTAATACGTTGGATTTTTCATGTTTTCTAAGCTTTACCCTATATAAAATACAAAAAAGTGGACATACGTATCTACTACCAAAGCCTCTTTTGACCCATTAATTGCAAAACCAATATCACAACAAAAGAAGCGGAGGGGGTGAACTTCAATTTGTGTATGAAAAACATATAAATATAATATAAGCAACAAACTGAAATCTTCCAAAACATGATTAAAAAAAGTATGTAAAAATCTACACCATTAACGATTAATGAAGTAACAACTACCCCTAAAAGGCTAGATAGAAATCATGAACATCAATCCTGTTTGGTGGTAGAAAGTTTAGCTCGGTGCCTGAGTTCTGCTCTTTTCCACTTCACCATAAGTTGACATAAAGAAAACAGTGTGTTCACCTGCAAAAACAATAGCCAATAGTTAATCTTATAATACTAAAACTTTAACTATAAGATTAAAAATAAGAACATTCAAAAGTTAAATTACCAGAATGATCAATGAGAAAACAAGAAGAGGACCAGACCAGAGCACAGAGAGGAAGACTCCATTGCGGTCAAAATAATTTTGACCAGCAAAGCTTTTCCAGTTATCACTCAAAACTGTGTTTAGTCTTTCAGCAAGATACACACCAACCACTGCATCAAGAATCAAGATTCAAGGGTATTATAGAGATTTCACCAGTTAACAGCTTCCTTAACCTATATTATATGTTTGTTGCTAAAGGGATACTATAGTAAACTTACATGACAGAAGGAAAAGGGACATCTGAAAATTGATATTCTTCCTTGAAGTGAGGATTATTATAAGTGTCACAAAGTGGAACACCATCAACCCCACTAACCATGGTTCCTGAGAGATACATATAGAACAGAAAGCAATCAGCTTAAAGAACAACAAACACATCACAAGTACCAAATTGAAGTTTTTCTAGGTTAGGTTAGGTTATGTTATATAAACTTGTGGATCCATGTGGAAAGGTGTTACCTTACCTTCCAATCAATGGCATGAAAGAAGCCAATGAAGTTATCCATTGCTGGTTGCATTCCAATTCGAAGCTCAGATGAAATTTTCTCAACAAGTTCTTGCATTTGATCCATGTGCTCATTCATAGCTGTCTTTAGCTCGTCCATTTGATTCAGCTTTGTCTCAATTTACTACACAAGAAGTTGACGGGAGTAGTAATTAACAAGACATCATGACTCATGACAATTAGATCTCATCATAAGCAACTTTATAACCAAAAACTGGTTCGTTTCAAATTTCAATTTCAATTTCAATTAGATCTCTATAAACGTTTTAGAAAGAAGAAAAAAACTTATTTACAACTTGAATTTGGAAAGTACAATAGAGGAAACTCTAAGCTAAAATGATGACGATTTGGGGAATCGGATGATGCAATTATAAACCAAAGGAGCATGAGACTGAGGTCACCAGTTAAATTACGAGTTCAGACAGACAAATTTATACTATTATCTGACAAAACGAAGTTTAGATGAAAACGTTCTCAAATCGGAAAAGAGAAGAAGAAATTACAGTGTAGCGAATGAAGACAGTGAGAGCGAGAGCCACGGCGACGGCGACGGACTTGTTCCTCACGAAATCGCCGAAGTTATGATTCAGTTTGAAGTGGTGATTGGTGAGATTTGAAGAGTAGATCTTGTTCTAGAGAATTAAAAAGGGTTTATATCCGCAAATTGTACAATTTAACACTTTATTTGATTATATGGAAAATATTGATGATGAAGCAAAATTTAAAGGGTTAACTAAAATTAACACATTGAGACCATCTTATGAGCTTGTTTAATATGTATTTTAAAATTTAAATTGTATTAGATTATATAAAATCTAAAAACATAGTATATAATAAAATTATAATTTTATATAACATCATTATGATCCTTTACCATTTTATATAACATTTACATAGAATGATAAGAGATATAAGGTTAAAATATTGAATAGTTGATAAGGATATATCACATAAAACAATAAAATTATATGTATTTTGTTATATATATATATATATATATATATATATATATATATATATATATATATATATATATATATATATATATATATATATAAACTAGCTAGAAACAAGGAAGTAATTAGAAGTGGATTTTTAAACCAATCAACCCAATTACTATTAGTTTTTACATTTCTAAAAGTAAATCAATTATAAGGAAAATCTTCTATTGCATAAAAAAAAAAAAATACAATTTTTAATGAGATTGGAGTCTCCAAAAATATACCATTGCAATATCTCCAAATCATCAATTAAGTCGTCTGCATAATAGTCTCCAAAACCATCTTTTTATTAATTGATAGCAAGATCGTATTGATCCAAGAAAAAAAACCCCTAAAATACTTACACTCAATAGCGTCAAATCCATCCATCTAAACACTCTTTGCCAAATAACACATACTTCACATAATAAAAACATGATCTATTTTTTCCATATGTTTATCATATAAAGGGCAAAGCAACGAATGAATATCTAACTCTTTGATGCTAAGATTTCACCTAGTAGGTAATCAATCTAATAACAATCACCAAATAAAAATGTTTACATTTATAGGGACAAAACAATTTCACCTAGTTGCATGTGTGCTATCTGGAAAACACTCAAAATTAATAAGTTTTCTAATTTCATCCACCGTGAACCCAATAGCACAATTCAACTCCTATTGCCAATCATCTTCTTCTGAATTCAGCTGAAAATACTAAATGAGTTATAGTTAGTCTAATTTAAAATATATCAAGTAGAACAAAATAGAAATATACAAATTAACCCAAAATTGTTAACATCAATGAGTAGTGTGGAACTGTTGATGCAAAGAAAAAAATAAATAACTTTTTTTTATCGTTCTATGAGTTCTTTTTTATATTTTGTAGGTCAAATTCCATAAAAACTATTATGATTTTATTTTTATTTTCTTGTTTAATGATTGGATGAGTGTTTTTTTCTTGTTTAGCCATTAAGAGTTTGCATTTTTTATTTCTACAAAAACTACTCAGCGGCGGGCTTTGAACTTTTGATTTAGAAGAGCCAAAAGTATAATATGTATGAAAACCTAAGATATATAAAATTTATACTTCGAACACAAAAAAAAAAAAAAAAAAAAAAAAAAAAAAAAGGAAGCCACAACCCCTTCTAGCCCTAAAGAAGCTCCTTTGGTTTTATAAAATTTTGAATTCTATAAAAATTGGATTGAGTTGATTTTAACCATCCAAAAGATTTTTCTTTATGATTTAACTATCATAGTTTGGTTTTTTCCTTTTCTAAACAAAGCAACTCCATCGGGAAAAGTATTCTTCCAATCATTTTTGCAATTCGTTACCGAGAAAAACTTACTACGATTTAAAAAAAAAAACCTCAATGGTTAAAACAAGAAAAAATTAAAATTATTTCAGTAGTTAATCTTCCCTAATAAATAAATAACTTTTTGGTACATATCCTCTTCTCCTTCATTTGAACACATGGTATTTTTTAAAATTTTAAAATTTTCTATTTTTCACTTGTGATTTTATGATTTTATTGTAATTTTCATTTTATTAAATTAAAATTTTATATTTAATACGTAAGATAATATATATGTAATGTATTTATTAGAAAGGGTTTATATATGTAATATATTCTATACATTAAAGCCTTATTAATTTTAATAATTCAAAATTTTTATTATTTTTCTTATAAATTCAAACTTTTCAAATTGTTAAAATTTCATATTTTATGTTATTTAAATAAACTCATGTAATATATGAGTATCACACCTAGTTTACAATAAGTAGTTTGGTAGAGTCTGACGTTAAATTTATTTTGATTTATGATTTTTTTGGGTTTAAAATGATCAATTTGGTCAATTATAAACTAAATAATATGCATGATATGTTTAGTCAATCCATCTATGAATAACAAGTACTACTTAAACACGCCCTATTTCCTTATTAAAATAAAGTAAACAATGTTTAGCAATATGTATCCATCATATTATTAACAAACAAAAATGCATTATTATTATTATTATTATAATATTACTATTATTCATAGAAGATGATCAACGAGATGCTTGTCATGCTTCATCACATGTTTTCACATAAATGAAGATTCAACAATCTCTCAAAATTCTCCTTCTATTCAATAGATCACTACTTTTTTTTTTAGTTTCTTTCAAGAATGACCAAATTCTAAGCTGATTTCTTCAACAAACTCAGCAGAACCCCAGCACTAAGAGTCGTGGCTACACATCCTAGAGAAACCTCAGTTGATACATGATACCCTGCAAAAGACGTATTTGCCCTCATAAATGGAACCATAAGGAATTATCTTTGATTATGAGTGACCTAATCAATAATACACTTACCAAAGAAATCTAGAATCATTTTGCATCCAATGAAGCCCAAAACTATGCCAATGGAGGGCTGATGATCATACCAAACAATGCTAACATATTATTGGTTTGAATAAAGAAATTATAAATTACCAAAAAGGAAATCTTGAAGCAAAATCAATACACCATTGACTCATTTCTAATGTTAATAATGGGCAAATATGTAAATTCAAACACAGAGATATAGAAGAAAATGTTGACCTAACATCAATTGATTTGTAGATAGATACTATATATACTACCAATTCATTCATAACAATGGACATGGGCAAATACGTCATTTAACATGAAAACTTTTCAAACAAAAAAACTTACCTGTAGATACTCTAACTCTGCCATGCTTTCTGAAATCAGTGTATATAGAGATCGTAGACCTGCATCAGAAGCAAAAAATTCAGCCCAAAATTTTTTGTGTTTGACCAATTAGATAAAAGTCAACTCTGGCATCATACTTTACCTAAAATGGCAAAGAGATTAGATGAAAAAACAATGAAGGGATCTCTTGTCACACCAAAAACTGCAGGTATAGAGTCAACCTAGAAAAAAAAATTACATAAAATAAGTGAACAGAAGTTTTAAAATATTATAAAAATATGTTAAATGAATAAACTTACAGCAAATGCAATGTCACTGAGTTCAATTACTGCTACAGTTAGAAGCAAAGGTGTAGCCTGCCCAAAATGTTTGATGCCTGTTAGAAACCAACAATTCAAGATGACACTTTTTGAGTAAAAAAAATGAATCAAGAAAAGATTCCCATTTAAAAAAAACACATGTTTTTAACCATATTAACAAATCAAAAAAATACCCATATCTTTTCACTTACTTTCCAAGCTCCATTCACAACTGTAAAAAACCTATTGCCATCATATTGAGCTGCCAAATCAGGAAAAATAATGAATGAAATAAATACCAGATTTACCCTTGAAGAACAATGCAGAAAGTTAGCATCTTTCCAAATCAAAAAAATTATAACTTCTGACAATTGAAAAGAAATTAATTATTACATGTTACAGGAATAATCTTTTGGCATGTTTTCACGATAAAATTTTCTGATAGATCCTCATCATCATCTTCACCAGTAAAAAACAGCTATAGAAAGAGATGGAAATGTTATGATCATGGTTTAAAGTGTTAGCTAGAATAAACTTTAGTAAATACTTTCTTTAATCATATTTAATGTATTAAATATTAACTAATTAATTATTTAAGGAAAGAAACAGTACCTTAAAGGATGAGTACAGAAGTATTGATGCCAGTAGCAAGTTAACAGCCTCAAACCTCTAAAATGTTTTACATTAATAGTTTTAGTAACTTTTCATATTGATTTGTTGCAATTTTCATAAAAACAAATTGAGTATTTTTATTTATTTAATGTAAAAAATTACCTGAAGTGTTGCAGTTCCAAGAAGTATTAATGACAATCGAAAGATCACTGCACCAGATATACCATATGAAAGCACTCGATTCTGTAATTACAACATGAAGAAATATCAATAAATGATTGTTTTATTAAGTGATTTGACTTTGACTGATGAGAGAGTTTATTAGAGATTAGACTACCTGATAAGGAAGTGGAACTTTAAAGTATTTGAATATCAAAACAAACACAAAAAGATTATCCACAGACAAGCTTTGTTCAAGCAAATACCTATGTGAATTTCAAAAAAAAAAAAAAAATCAAGAAATGATGAGATAACTAAGATAATTGAAATACTTTCATGAGCAAAAAAAGAAATTCAATCTCATACCCTGCAAAGAATTCTGATGCTTTTCCAACTCCATCTTTTAATCCCAGACCAACACCAAATGCTACAGCTGAGAACACCTAATACAATGAAAATACTATTTTTGATCTTTAAACGAGGGTAATTAAAACTTCATGAATTTGAACTTATAGTGAGGTTATACTTACGCACAAGGCTACAGTTTTAACGGATGTCTTGTAATTTTCAACATCTTTGGTCTTTTCTTCTAGAACATCATCAATAATGAGATGGCCTTTAGATTTGGTGGTGTCATCGAATGGATTGGAGGAGGATGTCTCCCTCTCTGCCAGTAAGATCATGTTGTGCAACAAATAGTGAGTAATTTATGGTAAACGCATTCATTTCGCAAAGATCACTAGTATTATGATATGTAGACGTATATGTATATGTACGTAGGCATTTGTTTATTCTGAATATCGCATTAGAAACATTAGATGTTTATTTTCTCACCTGAAGAAACAGATCCTTCTTCTTGTTCAACTCCTTTCGAGCGTACAATCGATAACTTCCGCGTCCAACGATTTCGACAAACACCTGCAATCAAATTTTGTTTTTCAGAGGAAAAAATTATTGTCTCTTACATCCATCGCCCTCAACATTCAAATAGTAACGTTACCTGAACTGAACGAACGATTGGGGAAATGAGTGATTTGAAGATGAACCCATTTGGGATACCGAGTAGAAGTTGAAACTGGAGTAAATCTAAGCAATCCCACTCCCAAATCAAATTTAAGCGGGTGATATATCCCATTTTGAATTATCGAAGCTAATTTCATGGCTCCAAATTCAATTCGTGTTATAATCAACGGAATACGGTTGGTTGCAGATGAATGTGAGACGCACAGGGGGTTTTGGGTTGTTGATATGAGAGGGGTGTCCACCGTCGCTAGTGGTTATGATCCACCGAAAAATTGAAAAATATTCACTTTGTTCCCCTCGTTTATAAACTTATTCTATCTAAGCACATATTTTAAAATCCATCAATATTTGGTATATTGTTTTTATTTGGAATATTAACACAATGACCACAACTTATCTATGATCTATATGATTTATTGGATATGATTAACATTTCAGGTAGTTAGCAAATGATCATTTATTTGCCATTCCAAAACAATTAGATATATTAAATCCACATATTTTATTTACTAAAACTAAAGCCAATCATTTGTCTTTTTAATATATGTACTTAAATTCGAAGTGTAAAGAATCTGAAAAGTGATCGTTTATCGAGAAGAATTTTGAAAAGTTAGTTTTTTTTGTCTATGGTGATTGTTTTAATTTTTCTAGTCCTAGAGGACCTAGACCTTGTTGGCTGTGGCAACAATTTTATGTCTCGATCGAGTTATGGTCTTGGTACATAAAAATCATGGTTGCAGACTTACGTTTTTAAGAGGAAGAAACATTATCACTTACTCTATTGAGTAAGGTTTGATCCAATGGTTTAAAGTTTAGGGTATATAGTTTAGAATGCCTTACATATTGTTATATTTCATCACATATAAGTGAACGTATTAAAGTTTTGTTTTATAATTTCTTATTTAAATGAAAAGTGTGTTTATTGAAGTATGATACATATTTAAATGAATAGCATGATATGTTAGATTTATTTGTAAGTAATTCGTAAACACCATTTTCGATATGATTTACAACAAAAAAATTGCATCGGATGCGAAGACATGTTAGTGATAATACTAACTAAATATTTGACATCATTATCATTAATTATTTGCAACCTTGACTTGGAAGAAACCAAGTTAACAAACCCACAAAAGTTGATATCATAGGTTAAACACGCACCATAACTTTGTAATCTAATGTCATATTCTAAATCAGGGTCGATCCTAAAAAATTAAATACTCTTAAAAGCTCAGGACGAATAAGAAAAAATGGGCACTTATCCTTATTATAATTTTTTATTTTTAAATAAAAATATACAATAATAAAAATTGGGTCATATGCAGTTGCCCACTCCCCCCCCCCTCCCCCTCCCCTCCCCCTTCAACGCCCCCATATACTACATAATGTCATTGATTTGTTCACACTATCATCCATTACATGTAGGAACTCTTAAAAACTACTCATTCTCAATAACATAATGGTGTATTGAGATAAAACTTATGAGTAAAGCCTTAAACCCATATGATATTTTGAATTATTTTTTTTATAATATCCCTTCATAATGTAAGAGGTGCCGATATGTAATGTAAATTCACTTTAACATGTCGTGTTATATTACTAAATGTCATGTCTCATAAGTTCTCTAATAGTTTCAGATAAAAATGAAGAGCTTATAATAAAGTGTTGTGGAATTCTTGATCATTTTTCTAATGTAAATTTATTATAAATTATTAAACGCAATACATTTTTCTAAATAAGCTTGAAGTTAATTAATCTAAGAACATCTTTGGATGTCTTTCCATTATTCCCTAACAAACCCTATTCTTGTATTCTGCTATCAACATGTTATGGGGTTACGGGTCTAGAACCATTGTTGTATGGTTCCTCCTCTCATGTAAAGAAATAGGTTATCTATCTTTCGAGACTTCATTACAGTCATCGTAATCGTAGGAGGGTTTGCCCTTAATCTTCTTAGAAAGTGAGGGATTTAATAACGAAGCAGAAGCTACTTTTCACTTATATTCAAAAGCTAGACCGGCTGGCTACAAAGCGAGGATTTGTTCTTAGTTTCCTAGTATTACCTTCCGACCAGAAAACCCTTTTTTTATTTCATGCTTAATGGTAGAGCGGTTGGCAAGTAAATGACTAGTCGGGCGCAGGTTTGAATCCTACTTGAAATGCTTCCCTGGACTTTTTTGACTCTCTGCTTACTCCAGTTGTAAGTAAACTCGTAGAATGGGATATCATCCACTGAATCCTAATTGCGAGAAGAGAATTTCCCTCCTAAGTCATAAAAAAGAGGATGCCTAGCTATGAAAAAAGGCTCCACATATGATTGGGTCTTAGGGAAAAAGAAAAGGAAGATCGTCTTGACTCTCTTAACTATGGTAAAATAGTTAGAATGTAAACAAAACACATGTTTCACTCTCGTTTTCAGTATTTTGACAAGAGAGGATCCGCTGAGTTGATTGAGTTGTTCTCTCAAAAGAAGATTCTATCAAAATCTTTGGAACAAATGGTTGCCCTTGAAAATGAGTGTTTTGTGGAAACTAAGACTAATTAAGAATGTCATTGCTATTGATAGCAGTTTTCCTAGGTTTGGAATGAATTTTGCCTCCAAATGTGTTTGTTGTTCCTCTCCTGGAGGGTCGAGAGAGGCTTATTGCACGATACACCCAACCGCCAATAAATGTTGCATAAGCTAAAAAAGTGGGAGGCCAGCCCACAACCATCTGGAGGTGCACACCCTTTTATGAACATATACAAAGGGCTAAAGAGAGAAGTCTATTGAGAACTACCAAATCCAATGAAATTGATTTGTTCGTACCATTTTGTCATCAATCACAGTTGGGTTGGTTGGTGAGTCACCCAAAAAAAACATCGAGAAAGGTCAAACATATCTTTTTTATGAAATGATCAACTGTTTCATTTATGCTATGCCTTGCATCGTGTTCGCCCGTGTTTATTGAGCTTTCAACGCTAATGGAGATTTTTTATGACTTATTATTATTATTTTTTTAATAAACATTCATCCTTATTGGAGTATATAGCTTATTTAATTTTTTTAGTGACAAATCTAAATTGAATGGTCAATATACTATGTTAGTTTGAACATCTAACCCATTTCTTTTTAATAATATGTCATAATATCATTTTAATTATATTAAAGTTTGGAATATTTTTTATTTTCTAATGTTTAGGTATTCCATTAAATACCCATATATGACAATTATTATATATTACAAATCATAATAAAGTTTAATACAAACCATAGCAAAAACATTAGTAAACTTGTAGTTAATTGCAATACATACGAAGAAGTTTTATAAAATATTTTAGATAGTTGGGATAAATTCGTTAAATTTATTAAAAAAAAATGGGCTATATAATAGGTTAACCATTGAAACTGTTGTGTTAAAGTTAAAGGGATGATGATGTGATATTTATTTTGAGTTATAGTATAGGTAAACGATTGAAAATACACTATATGATATAATTTTAATATATGATTTTTTTGTGTATTTAAGGATATTAAATAATATTTTATGCTTCTCTCGATTGCTAGAAATTTGATCAAAGTATAAATCTAAAACCCCCCTTAAAAGAAATGTAATCTAACATCAGAAGTGCACAAAAGGTCAAATCACAACTAAAATAAAGCGCTTTTCATAGGAACACATTCCTCCTCATATATTCATAGGGAAAGGTGTTTCAAAGAAATTCTAAAAAAGTATATTATAGGAAACTAATTGTGATCAAGGAGCTTCTTTTGTCGGAAGTCCGAAGTCGCCACACTTTTCCCATATACCCATCTTGCAAGGAGTTCCGAGGAATTATATCTTTGAGGAATTTCTTAGGAAATTTTTTTCCCATAAATTTCCTAGGACCATACTTTGTTGACCGTTTTTTGACATAAGGTTCCTATACAGGTTTAATAATAACCGTTCAAAATAAGTTTAGATTTAAATTGGTAAACTATCTTCGAGTTGAAATGGATTATGTCAAGCACATTCGAACCCACAACGATTTTGATCCTTGATAGTTATCATATATAACTACACACTAGTATATGAAATATAATTGAACCAAATATCCATTTCTTATTATTAACACATTAGTAGATTGAGAGTACAAAGACATTTGCTCCATTTTCTTTACAACTAAACCTTTCCTTTTATGTATTTGAAATGTGACAATAGAACATATCAAATTAATATATTATTACATAAATAGGTCGAACTCAAATGCATACCAAGACTTCCTATAAAGTTGTTTAGAAATGGAATTGAAATCAAATAAGCTCAATTCTCATGTAACAATCACCTTTGGGCCGGGTCAGGTCCAAGCCCAACATTCCATGTCTACCTCAGAATTTTTTAGTCGTCGGTAATCCTACGCCCCCTTTCATCGAGACACTCGAATTAGGGTTCGCGGAATCGAGAAAAACGACCACAACTGTAATATCATCGTGAAAATGTCTCCTCACCCCTCTTTCGATCTTCTTCAGGTCCAAGTATCTCACTTCTCTTTTCTTCGCTGCTGCCTGAAGCGCTGCCTTCACTAACCTCCTTGCGATCCCCTGCATGAAGACAGAAAATAAAGATGCTTAATCCAATTGAACAACTTAACATTGAAAATGATGTTCTTGTTCGATTCAGTTCCTCAGGTATGCAGGCGTTTTCTCAGGGAAATAGTTTATGAACTTACGTTACGTGGGTAAGTGTGGACAATATCGACGGCTTCTTCATTGCTGAGCTGCTCCCATAGGCCATCGGATGCGAATATGAGAAATTCGTCATTTGGATCAACTTTTTGTATGGAGATTGTTGGCTCAGGACTAAGAATTTGCTTTGAAAACGATTGTGGAATCCTAAACTTTGGCAAAAGTGGTGCTCGATTGAACTCCGGATTCTTCAGATACGCATCGCCTATTGATCTCGACACCTGTGAGAAAATTCATCAACATAATCAAATCGTATTTGTTTCAAATGAATTTAACTTCTTGATGCACATTTGGGGAAATAGAAAGGGAAAAATACATGGGACAAATTTTTTATAAAGTTAAACTTAATTGAGAAACCCTAGTTTCCTTAAACGATTAAGTGGTCTTTCTACATTTTGTCTAAAAAGATGCTAAATGAAACAACTACATACATATATGATATATCTGAATGAATTAAGACAAGTCTTATACCTGTATAAGTCCTTTAACACGCCAAACGTTATGTTTCATAACCACAATCTTTGGATCATCGGGGTGTAAAGAACGAAGCTCATCTCTTACACACTCATGGTTGACATTATGTTCTTGAGATAACTGAATAGCCGAGACACCACCACTATCCTTATCTACTCTCCCCAAAACCACACGCGAATCCCCCGCATTCGCAGTGTAAATGACCCCATCAACAATAACTCCAACCAAACAACACGTGCCCACACACGCAAATTGTGGGCACGTGCGCCATTGATCTCTAACAAGAGATATAAATTGGTGCTCGGTTGACAAGAATGCCTTTCTAATTGCATCCTCCGACATTTCTTCATCTTCGGATACAAACCCTGAAATCAAAATCAGATAATCAGATAAATAAATAATTAATTGATTGTAGCTAGGTGATGCGTAGTTAATTTTACATTTATCTAAATGATTGGTTTTTTTCTTAGAGTAACTTCTAGTAAGTTTAACTTTTGTGGGCTAAAAGCAAGAAACGACAACGTACTTTCATTTATTTGTGTATTGTAGTTTTGTTTGTATGATTGGAACTTTTATCTATAATATATATCTCTAAGAAAATATCTAAAATAGATTCAAAAATCTAAATAGATAAATAACATAACTAATTGAATCATGCTAACAAATAAATTCAATTTTGACTCTACTTTTGTTTCTTCCTATTACAATATTGTACTTCCAAAAAATTTTAATTAGTTATTATGACATTATACTTTGAAAGAACTACCCTACAATATCATTGTACTTTCAAAATTCTTTTATTAGGAGATTATACTGAGAAATATCTACCAAATTATAGCAAGTGAGAATTGCTTTTTAATTTCAGACTTTTTTCTTATTATGTCATTGTACTTAGAAAGATTTGTCCAATCATAGCATTGTATTTTCTCTTTTTTTTATTAGTATCACCGAGTTGTACTTAGAAATTGCTTGTATTTGGATGACATTGTTGTAATTCGATAGATTTTTCAAAATACAATTTTATAATATGAAATAATGAAAATATGGATGCTAGTATAAACAAACCAACACAAATTATTGTTATTTCTTGCAGGTAAACCTTCTTTTTAGAATAACTAGTTATAAAATCATAACCATAGTAATAAAATCATAACCATAGTCAATTAAACACACAAACAAAAGAAAAATATTAAGGGGTACACAAAATGATTAAGAAAAAGGACACACATTAGCTCATATCATATCATTCTTGAATCAAAGTATAAAAAAGGATTCAATATAAGAATTTGACAACTTACTCTTGAGATTGGAGAACATATTTTCGTTGACAAACCGTGATGCTTCTGGCCCACCATGTCCATCATAGACCCCAATAAACGTCCCGTAAAGCCCTAAATTCATTGAATCCAACGGTCCTGATTCGATCTGGCTTTGATCCTCCATCAAACTGTTAGCTTGAACCACAGCCATTGAAAACTCTCCATTAACATGAGACCCCAAATCTTTATACCACAACAACCCATCTGTTCTTCCACTTTGTGCACCCCCAACACATGGTCTCCAAAAAGGTTTCATCATATCTAAATAGCTATAACTATTACCCCACATGAAACTTTAGCATAAATATTACTTATATGTTTTCACCAATCAGATTAATCCAAATACATGATCGAAATTTCTATCATCCAAAACAACCAGCAAACAATATGTTTGTCGAATTATGATCAAGACTCAAACGTAAAGTCAATCTCAGCTCCAGTTTCTGCTTATGTTCTAACCCAACGACCAAGATTCTTGAATTTATAAAAGACCCACAAGAGATAAAAGGACTAGACACCATTAATGTCAAGAAATGCAAAAGGGGGCAAAATGGGTATGGGCTAAAATTGCCTAAAAACGAATCTAGTGTGACTCAAAGGACAAGAAAACAACTGTCTTTAATGGAGTTCAGAGAATATGGAGATGTGTTCTTCAAGTACATACCCTATACCTCTTATTTATTTGTCCCTTTTCAAGAACATCCTTAGCTGTAAAACCCATAAGATTTTGATTTTTTGACAGAGTATGTTCATGGATCAGATGAAGAAGGCAGGGTTTTTGGCGTTTTTTGGCAGAAAATCTTTGTAAATTTGAGATCTTGGAGATGATGGGCTGATGAGGTTTTTAAAGAAAGGAGAAAAACTCTAGAAATTGTTAGCAAGAAGGGTTTATTTTTCTTCCCCAATTGAACTGAATTTGACCTTGAGATTTCTTTTACCTCTCCTTTTTATTTGGATTTGTTTTGTGGGTGGATGGTTGAATATTAGAATTTTATGACTTTGTTCGAATAGTAATCCACGTTTTTAGCCTTTTTTGGCTGAATGTTTCGTTACATGTATGTGGACCACTCCTTTACTTTAAGGGTAGTTTGGTAAAAGCCATGATTTGATCAAATATTTTTGTAAGTTGTATTCTAATTTTATAATTGTTAAATATATTTTCAATTTCCATTTGAAAGAAAAAAGAAAAAAAAAATAACACATTAAAATGATGATAACGATGAAGATATGCTCGATTTTAAAATATTCATAAGCCATTAACATCAGTTTAATTTCACTCATTTTCTAATTAGGTCATTTATATCCGTATACTTCTACTCATCTATTAATTATATCATCCACTTCGGTTTATTTCCACCCTTATGTAATATCAGTTTTTACAATTAGAGATATGTGTGGAAAAACATAATTAATTATACATGTATATATGCAGAAAAAACATTATATTAATTTTATGTTGAAAAAAAAACCTTATTTTATTACTTAAGTTTCAAATAAAACCAAATTATAAATATTTAAGAGAAATGATCAGCTAAAAATATATGATGTAACATATATATTCTTTATATTTCCTTGATTGTATGCGAAAACATGTTAAAACCTATATTTATTTCAATGGCTTTTGCTCGATTGTGTTCTCCATATTGAATTATATGATTGATTTTTCCTTCCTTAACTAATTGTTTTTATCATATCAATATCGTATTAAAAACAAAAATGTAAGCAACATCATATTTGCAGTCATTAATTTCTCTTAAAAACCCATATTTTGGTATTTTTTGAATGATAACTATTAATATAAAAGTTTTTTTGAACATAAAAATAATATAAAGGTTTATATATATATATATATATATATATATATATATATATATATATATATATATATATATATAAACCTAGGTTCATTTGTTTCTTATATTTATTGTGTCCTATAATGCATCAATAGAAACTTAGTAAAATTAAATAATTATTTAATTAAATAAAAATATGTATTAAATGATTTCCATAATTATATATATATATATATATATATATATATATATCCATAATTATAATTCTCTTTTTATGAAAACTAATTAAATGTGTCATTAATGTCATCAAAAACATTTATTTAGATTGAATTTGCATCTACGTTTTCATGGGTGGATTCGTGATTTATTTATGGACTCGTTCACTTAAAATGCAATAAAATTGTATGGAACATGAAGAACGAGAATGTATTCTACTAAAATACACTTTCATTCTGTTATAATATACTCTCATTTTTCTAAAATAAACTCTCATTCTGCTAGAACACATTCTCGTTCTCCATGTTCCAAACAGCTTTGTTGTATTTGGAGTGAATGAATCATAAAACAAAATATGAATCGATACATGAAAACTTAGATGCAAATTCATTCTTAAAAAATACATTATTGATATTAATGATGAATTTAGTTTTCATAAAAAATAAATTATAATTATAGATATCATTTAATATACATATAATTATGTAAATCATTTAATATCTATCTTTATTTGATTAAATAATAAGTTAATTTTTACTAAATTCTTATTAGTGCATTTTAGCATACAATAGATGTGAAAAATATTTGAACTTAGCGCGCTCTCTCTCTCTTTCTTTCTGTATATATATATATATATATATATATATATATATATATATATATATATATATATATATATATATATATATATATATATATATATATATAATTCGTTGTTTTTTTCTACATATATCCTTTATCGTCAACATTAGTATAATACCAACATTTTCAAAGATGGTCATCCATAAAGTCATCCACATCGATTTAAAAAGTCCACTCATCTTTTAATTATGTCATACATATCGGTTTAACTGAACTCATCTTTTAATTAAGTTATGTGTATACACTCATCTTTTAATTATGCCATTATCATCATCAATGCATTACCAACATTTTCAAAGATGGTCACCACTAACATTTAACAACTATCTTAATAAATATTCTTTTTATTTTTACTTAATAAATATATATTTATAATTTAAATTTTAGTTAAACATATAGCAATAATATATAAACTAAAGATTTTTAATACATAAATATATTTATATAATCATAAAATAATATAATAACTATATATAAATGATTAAGAAGTAAAATAATATAAGAATACATAATATCCTATAAATTGATTGTCCTCTATGTTCTGGAAGGCTAGAAATTTTAAAAGACAATTCGTTAATCAATCTTTTAAAAATCGGTTTTTTAGTTGGATAAGTATGGTGGCCGATCTTGGATTTAACTGGTTCGTCCGCCGGGTTAAATCAGTTTCTAGAATTTTTTTATTTTTTTTTATTTTTTTTATTTTCACACACACACCAACACATATACATACACCAAAAAGAAAATAAATTATAATACTGAAACAAAATATAATTTTAAATGAATACAAATGTATCGAAAAATTTCATAACATTTACCATGTATTTTTATTTAATTTAAAAGATGTTTAATTAGATATGAAAAGACCACCAAAATTTATTATGTAAAATGTTTTATTTGTATGTGTTTTAATTCAAATTAATGTATTCAACTCGGCTTTTGTAAAATCCATGTGTTTCATTTCGATTTAGAAATAGATATAAATTTGGTGCTAATTGAACCGTTTTATCCGGTTTCGGTCCAACCGGATCAACCTTTCGGTTCAAACCGATTTTTAAAACATTGTTGCTGACTCATCTTAATAACGGTTGTAAAATGTACATGGTCTAATGGTTAAGTTTTTCAATGACTTGTTATTTTTTATTTTATTAGTTTATTTGAATAAATAGTTGTTATCGCAAGCATATTCAAAAGGTTAACTCTTCAAGAGTTTTTTCTAAAACACAACTAATTTATCTTGTCTTCATGTATATGAAATATTTTATAAAATGTCATAATCTAATTTATGGTTTTTTAATCACACCTCATATTTAAAAACAACAAAATATATTATATACATGACATTAACATATAAACAAAACAAAGTTTTTCGTAGAAATACAAAATATGCGATATATATGAAGATAAATTAATATATGTATATGATATAGGAAGCATTGTTTTAATTAAATAGTCAAAAATCAATTAATATATGTATATGATATAGGAAGCATTGTTTTAATTAAATAGTCAAAAATCACATTATTTATATAGGTTTCCAACATCAACAATTTTGGATTTTGACATGAAGTTTTAGTAACAAAAACCTAGTAACAAAAACCTGTTAAGTTTTTTTAAGAAACATCTAAAAAGTTGCATTTTTTTCATATGTTAATCGAATTAAAACAATGTCTTAGCCTCAAATTTTAATTTTATGATCAATGAGGATTTTGCAGCAACGGTTAAGGTTGGATGTAGTGGTGTTGAGCTCACGAGCTCTATCTCAGCCAAACAACCATCCACCTCAGCTGGTGGTAGACATGTTGATACCACCACCATGACAAAGGAATGTGGGGAGAAGAGAGGGAGGAGAGAAACTCCACGAGTTGCTTCCAAGTTCGAGTGTCGAGCTCGGTATGTCGAGCTTAAGGGGATGGTGTTTGCCAAGCTGACTAAGCCAATACTGAGCTTTTGCAAACTCAACTCACTCGACATAAAAGGAAATGGTTACAACTTACAATATACAAATTTGTTTGCTATTGTTTTTTATTAAAGAAACTAGGTATAAGACTCATGTATTACATGAGTTCATTTAAAGAAAATATATGAAAATTTTAAACATTTGAAAAAGTTTGAATTTATATAAAAAAAAAAAAAAAAAAGGAAAAATACTGAATTATTAAAAATAATGTGTTTTTTTTTCTTTTAAGTTTAAACAAATAATTGAGAGAGTAAATTACACGAATGGTCCCTATGGTTTGTGGTAATTTGCGTGCTTGGCTCCTTACTTATTTTCTTAACTCGGAAATTCTCTATTGTTTGTTTTTGTTACGCGCTTGGTCCTTACTTTTTGTTTTTGTTACGGGTTTGGTCCCTGTTTTACCTAAAAAATACTATTATTTAAATATGGAACAATGATTTGGTAGGTAAGGTAAGGTGATGAGGGTGGAGTTGGAAGTGTGTTTATTTAAATAAATTAAAAAAATCAAGAGTAAAATAGTTTTTTAGATAAGATAGGGACCAAACGCGTAACAAAAACAAACAATAAGGATCTTCCGAGTTAAAAAAATAAGTTAGGGATCAAACACACAAATTACCCTAAACCATAGGGACTATTCGTGTAATTTACTATAATTTAGATAAATAAACAAAGATAACTAATAAAATTTTAATTTAAAATGTTGAAATTTAAAGAAAAGTCAATTATTGAAATTGATATGCATTTATCATTACATTTATTACAATTATTATATTTAAATATTATGTGAATTTAAGAAAATGAAAAAAAACCACAAAATATCATATAAAAATAAAATTAATTAAAAATAATCACAAAATAACATATCATCAAATCAATGAAAATATAATATATGACAAAGAGATTTTCGTTTATTAGAGTATATTCAAATATTTTCCCTAGGGTTTCGTTTGAGTGGGATCACATAACCGTTTTCAATAAAATACTTTTTTTTTTAGATAAGCAACAAAGATCATACGAAGTCCAAGTTGAACAATGATAGATCTCATAGTAAAAGATTTTAGACTTTTAGAGTTTTAGTTGCAAGAACATTAGAAAATACTAGAAGCGTGATGTCCAAAACTCATCCATACGTAAAAAATATAAAATATATAAAAAAAAATGTTTATCTAGTAATATAAAGTGGGTGCTTCAATCCTAGTTCGCACATTACATATTCGATGATAAACTATCATAGCACAATTAGGACATACCATATTCAAATATATTCAAATTGCTTTTCAGTTCTAAAGTTAAAAAAAATCATTGTCAGTCTACCACCATCAATATGGATTAGTTGTGATCGTCTGATGATATAAAACACTCCAAAATATAGTTAACATAT